CTTTCTTTCTTTCTTTCTTTCTTTCTTTCTTTCTTTCTTTCTTTTTTCCTTCCTCCCTCCCTCCCTCCCTCCCTCCCTCCCTCCCTCCCTTCCTTCCTTCCTTCCTTCCTTCCTTCTGATTGAAAACATTTTGCTTCTCACCCCAAAGGCTTCTTGAGGTTCTAAAGGAGCTAGAACTGAAGAAGCTTCTTGAGTGAGAAGCGAAAGGTTTTTGAACAAAAATTCAAAGAAAGTCCAGCTGCCTTTTGGAAAAAGCACCTTTGGGACATCCAGAAAGGGAGACAAAAAAAGGGGGGGGGGGAGAAATGCAGGGTTAAATTTGAAAGGTTGCATTTCACAATGCTGGACTCACCGAGGGGGTCCGGTGGTAGGAGTCACAAAGCACAATGGGTCCTTCTTGTTTCAGCATTAAGGAGTTGTCAACATCTTCCTGGTCACTTTCACTCCAATAATCTGCTAAAAAAAGGTTTTCATTTTGTTCGGAAATTTATGCTTTGCAAGGCAAGATTTCCCAAAGGCTGCAGAGAAGTTGGATATTTTCAACTGCCTCTTTTGAACAACTAATTCCCAGAGCATTGTCTTATGTCTTCGTATATTCACCCATATAGTATGGCTGTATTACTATTATCCTTCCCATCTTTTTTTACTACCTTCTCTTATTGGTATCATCATTATGACTATTATTACTCTGCTGTTTTGCATATACATGGAGAGCTTATACACAAGAAACAAATTCCTTGTGTGTCCAATCACACTTGACCAAATAAAACGTTCTGTTCTGTTCTGCACTGCTCTCCTCTGTTCTATTGTGTTCTGCTCTGTTCTGTTCTGTTCTGTTCTGCTCTACTACACTACTCTACTCTACTCTACTCTACTCTACACTACACTACACTACACTACCTATCTATTCTATTCTATTCTATTCCATTCTATTCTATTCTATTCTATTCTATTCTATTCTATTCTATTCTATTCTATTCTACACTACCTATTCTATTCTATTCTATTCTATTCTACCCTACCCTATTCCATCCCATCCCATCCCCTCCCATTGCCATCAAGAATCTCACCTTCATCTGGCCGAATATCCTTGTCATCAGGTGTGTAACCAATGGCAGCCAGACCTAGACGGTTCATCCATCTATTGAAATATTTTTTTAAAAAGAGAAATGGGTTCAAATGGCTTTAAACCCTCCTTATTTTAAGCAGTGAGTAGAAAATTTATAGTTGCTGGTGATGATAATAGTTTTAAAATTGCATTTATTTGTTCATTCGTTCATTCAATTTCTGTGTTATTTATTCAATTTTAACCAACTATCCAACTTCGTATGTTCCTCGCACTCTCCTACTTTGTCTCATCTTTGACAGGGTTGACTTAGAAGTTGGGAAATTGCATTCTGCAACATTTGTGGGGCTGGCTGCAGATTGATAACCCCGAAGCACGATGTGAAGTTTCCCATTTCACAGCTCTTTGATGCACCTTTAAATATTCCAGGATGCTGCTTTCTGATTGGTATTCTTAACCTCAGTGTTAGTCCAGTCCTGCTCTCAGGGGCAGCAAAATAGTCATGTTGTATCTGCTCACAGAGGTGGGAATTTCAACATAAGTATCTGAAGATAGAAGAACACCATCCTTCTTTTCTCCTGCTCTCCACGTATCAGAGTAAATCATGGATGACTATTTGTCTGACGTGGTATAGGGTTTCCTGCCTGAGAAAGGGGTTAGACTAGAAGACCTCCAGGGTCCCTTCCAACTCTGCTGTTCTGTTATCCTCACCCAATGCAGAATCTCAGAACAACTTACCGGTTCATTTCTTCCAGGCAATCTGTTGCAAAGTAGAAGCTCTTGATTTTGGGGTGGCAAGCCTTGAAAGCACTAGGAGGAAAGGAGAGAGAAGAAGAAGAAGAAAAAGAAAACTTAGCATCTATTAATATGACAGCAAGTTGTCCAGTTCTACTGACTTTTATTTATATTGTATTTATTTGTATCCCTCCTTCCTTTCTTCTTCTTCTTTGCCTTCCTCTTCTCCCCCTCCCCCTCCCCCTTCTTCTTCTTCTTCTTCTTCTTCTTCTTCTTCTTCTTCTTCTTCT